GAAGGCAATGGATTGTGGATGCGGCTGGACCCAGATAAAAGCATTGATGGAAGAGCTTCTCATGCAATTGCCAAAGTCAATGATACAGTTTGGGTAGTTGGCGGATACAGTTTTGCTAAAGAAAACTCAACTGTATTGATGGTGTGAGTATCTGCTAAACAACCGACTTTCTAATTTTTTCTACCTGCTAATTAAAGAAAATGTTACCTTTCACAATCTTCTAGATAATAATGGTAAAGCAATGGCTTATTCTGATCATAACATTTATTCAAGTTATTTTCTTCTATGGCTATAATTGAAGGTTACTTTTAATATTTTAGATCTCTTATATTATTTTTTTTTCTATATAACATGGTAGCTTTAAAGGGACTAGAATTTTATAGTTGGTAAATGAATATTGCATTTTATGCTAAAGTCTAGAGCATTAACTCAAATTGTTAATTATTCTCTTATGTGCCATGTTTCTTTGAGATGTTGATCATGGCTCTCCATAATTTCCTGTCCTTTGTAGCTCTTAATAATTTTTGTATTTTTTTTTTTTTTTTTTTTTTAATTCTCCTAAACCCTGTTCTGCCATTTATTTGTGCAAGGCTCACCAGGTAGGTTATGTGTTGTTTTCCTTTGTCCTGTGAATGTCAATGTTTCAAGGTTTTCTTGTGTACCCTAGAAATTTTAACTATCTCTTTTTGATAAGTATAAGAGTCCTTTTTGTTTTTGTTTTCTCTAAAACTTTGGTCTATAGTATTCAGTATCATTCTGGAGAATGGTAATTCTTTTGCTTGAAGTCTCTTCATCTGTGAAGAGATTGCCCAACATTCTACTTCTTAAAAAAAAAAAAAAAAAAAACCTTCAAGTCTACATAGATTTCTTCACTTTCTTTTACTCATTCTGTTTAAAATAAGTTAAGCATTTATCTACATAAAAGTTAATCATTAGTATTCAACAAAAGAATTGTAGCATAATAAAAGGAGCAAAGAATATTTTTAAACTATATTTGTGGGATCTGCAGATTAAGCATGACAGTCCTCATGCACTGTTTTATGTTCATGTGGAGTAAGTAGCCTTGATCCAATACAAAATAACAGAACTGTCCAAACAGAATTTACAGTTTGCAATAAGAAAAGAAAACAGGCCAAAAATTCATAATATAAAGCAAGCAAACAATATATTCAAGGCAAATTAATAGTAATAAGGCAAAGCAACAGTAATATGGCAAAAAGTTCACAAACTAAAAGTTGTGGAGGGGATGACACACACAAGCAATCTCAGGCAAGTGAATATAGCGTTCTGACTTCAAGACAACTCTGACTGAGTCAAATGAAACTGAGAACCAGACTACTTTGTCGAGAAAAAAAAAATCCCAGCATGCATTTGTGTGCTTCGGCCTATAAATTTTTTTTATCATTTCGCTCCAAGCAAGGCAGGAATGCCACTAGTATACAGGGGTTACAGATAGTGAAATAAAAAAAACTGAAAATAGGGAGGATTAAGGAAAGGACAAAGGATAAACAGAATTCAAGAAGACAGAAGATGGCAATTGATGTTGCATTTAAATTTTTTAAGATTGTGGTTATCAGGGAAGCAAGTAAATGGAAGGGAGTTTCACATGTGGGATTTGTGAGAAAAACAGTTGCAGTAGAAGTGGTGGTTGCATTTAGCTATTTCAACAATAAACGAGTGGGAATCTAGATGCCAACCTAGTAGCACACTTAAATTCATGTAGTCGGAGCACCAGGGGAAAAAAGCTTGCCATGAAAATATTTGTAGAAAAGGCATAAGACTAAAGTGTTGTTGCTGACGCTTGAGTTTGAACATAGATCACCAGTGAGCAAATGGAGGTGATCCTATTATTGAATTAAGTAGATCACGTGACCATAGAGGAAATGCATATAAGTAGGAAGTCGTGTGACGTCTAAACGATCATTATTCTCTACTCTATCCTCTACTCTACGGACCGCTATTCTCTACGCTATCCTCTACTCTACGGACCGCTATCCTCTACTCTACGGACCGCTATCCTCTACGAACGGACCTCTATCCTCCACGGACCGCTATCCTATCCTCTACTCTACGGAGACCCTATCCTCTACAGACCGCTATCCTCTACTCTATTCACTATGCTACTTCTCTATTCGGATCACTATACGGATTACTGTTCGAGTAAGTATTATCAAGCAAGTACTATTAGTGCAAGTGATATTCAAAGGCATCTGACACTAGTATTGTTCAACAGCATTACTATAGTTGTAATCTGCGATTACAAAGGCTCTACTACAACAAGCATTACAAAAGTGACAACAAGTATTCATTGGCATCACAAAAATCCTGTATAATAATCTTATCAGGTTGGAACAAAAATGTCTGTTTTTAATCACAAACTTTAAAACCTCCTAAATCTGCTCAAAGATATTTTCCCTTCATTTCACAAAAAAAAGCTTTCCCTTTGTCAATATCCCATTTTAAAAACATTGTTTTGCAACAGGTTACTAAGAATTGAAAACATTTTAATTTGGCATCATAAAATATTTTTTGTCAGTGCCTCTTTGTTACAAAGAACAGTAATACATTGTTATATTTTGAAAAGAATTGTTGTAATAATGAGCTGAAATATCTGCATACAAATTAATAAAGTTTGGTAGCTTTTCTGTCTGCAAAGTTTGCCAATTTATCTTGTTAAAATCAGTAAAATTGTAATTTTTATCACTAGTTATTTGATATCTAGTACATGATCTTTGTCATAAAATTTGATGATAGTCTTTATGACTTATAACTGTAAGTTAAGCTTCAAATATTAGATATCTTACTTGCTATTAGTAATGTAACTTAAAGAAGGGAAAAAAATATCCTATGGAAGTATTGTTTCGACAAATACACATTCACACACACACGCATAGATATATAAAACTCTTTCTGTTGTACTGGATGGGTGTGAATGTAGCACCCTAGTTTTTTGCTCCTCTTAAGTGTTTTTCCAGCTGTTGCTGTCAGTTTTTGTTTGTTTTGCTTGAAATATTTTCTAGGACTCTACTTAACTGGACATTTAATGTTGGCTCAGATGATGTAGTAAGTTGGTGCTCCCAATCCTAAGTTTTTTGTCCATGAGATTGAGTCAGTAATTCGAAATTCTTACATGATAGACATGCAAATCTGGATATTGTGAATTTTAATGGTTTGGTTTCTCCTTAACAGTCCTTTGACCACTCTAGGGTTGAGGCCAGATAAAGGTTTTGAATCATGTTTGTTTTGGATATAGCTTGATTATAGTTTTTGGTTACAGATTAGTTGGTAAAAGATTTTTTTTTTTTTTTTTTTTTTAAATCGGTTATTAGAGATGCTGGTTTCTAATACAGGTTATTTTGCATTCAGTTTCTGATACCAGTTCGATATTAGTTTGCAGTGTTTTCAGCAGAGGTCTTTTATGAAATATGAAGAGTTCATTTTCATTTTTTTAATGGGAATGCAGTATAAAAAAAAAACAACCTCCAAACATTTATGTAATTGCTCATTGGTTTGAACTCTAATGTATTCATACAAAGTCAATAAGCTAACTATAAACTTTATTCTTTGAGAAATATCTTAAAACTTTATTCCAGAAAATTGCATATTTACCTGTGACATTGCACCTCTCCTAGTGAGAGTAGTATTTTGATTTTGTAATAATGGGTTTAATTAGGGAAAAAAAACTTGACTTCATAAAAATTGAATGATTTAAAGTTTATGCAAATATTAACTAAATATACGTTTTCTTATGTATAAATTATTGTTGTTATGCCATCTTTTATTTCATCATTGAAATTATTACCATTAATTATAATCACAATGAGTGACTGAGAAAATTCTCAACTCCACTTTTGTTGTACCCATTGATAGTAAAAAGATTGACTTTTAGAAGCCTTAACTTTTAAAACATTATCATGACACTCTATCAATATAAAATTCTGTTGCTACAAAATCTACACTTTCGAATTTCTGACTTTAAAAAAAAAAAAAAATTTATTGTATAATATATTTCTTTTCAAGTAAATTCCTTGTCTATTCCAGTTTCAATCTAACCCAGGAAAGATGGACTGAATCCTATGTTAAGTTGTCAACCAATGAAGCTCCACAGCCTCGACACGGACACTCAGTGGCTTTTTTTGAGGTAAGTTATTTGTGCCAGTGTGGATTAAAATTTGTTCTTTAGCTTCTAGAACAAAATAATTAAAGTTATAAACATGATATTGTTAATTTCAATTATGCCTTTATTTTTCAAATTCAGATGGCATGTTCATTAATAATTTATTCTTTAAATGTCTTATGTTGTCATCTCTTACTGCAGTTAAAATAACTTCTGAGATAACTCTTTAGATTTAAGAGTTGATCTCTATCATGGTGGTCCTAAATGAAATAGTGGAAAAGGAATAGTATAATGAAATGGTTAAGTATAAATCACATGACTAACACAGGAAAATGGGTTCATTGGTGTAAAATAAGTGGCTATGTTTGATGTGAAGAATACCCAACATGTAAAGGAAAATTGCAGCAGGAAGGATTGAAAAATCAGTTTAATTAATCAACAAGCTATTTTATAAATGTAGCTTTATACTCCAATACACTGTAGGAGCAATCCCATCTTGGTCATATACAAACTAAGATTAAAATTATAAAAGTTATAGAAGCCCAGTGCAATTCCTAAACTACAATATGACAAAACTCCATAGCAATTGATTTGCAAACAAAGTTATGCAGTTACAGTTAAGAACAAATGAAAAATTTTTGATAACAAGTCTTGAACATTAATGAAACACTTTAAGGGAAACAATGACAACAGCAAGAAAGTTTTCCTCTCCCTAAAAACAAAAAAAAAAAAAAAAAATTGGGTGATAGATGAAAATTGTAATCTGAAGAAATAGATAGGAGTTAACATGAAGAAATGATAAAGAATTAATGGCGTTAAACAAAAACCTCAGAAATAAGTGCAAGCAAAAGAAAGAGGCTTAATGAGAAATGTACAGAAACTGAAAAACACATGCACACAGACCAGATATATGCAAAAATAAATTAACAGGTCAGAAAACGTGAATTTTGCAAAGATGTATAAAATCAAAAAATAAATCATGATGAAAAAAAAAAAAAAAAATAAAAGGCACTCCAAAAATAAAATGAATATAATGGAGTAATCTCTTAACAGAAGAGAGAAAACTGCAATACTGTATTTTCTGATGTCTAATATGAGTTTAGTATAATCCAACCCTGTGTTTCTGAAGCCAAAAACAGGGGAATAAATTACATCCTCGAGCATAATGATTCCGTAGTACAGCCATCTTTTTTTTTTTTTTTTTTTTTTATCATAGCCATTAAAATTTCAATGTCTTACATATATTTATATATTTTCACAAAATATTTAATTTCTCACAATATTAAAGAATAGAACTAAACTGGATATTAATCCATTTTTGTGTTTCTTCTAATTTCCATTTCAAAACCTATTTTCAAATTTTCTGAGAAAGGTGCTAACTTATGAGCTGTTCTAATTTTAAACATGGTGACAAACAGGAATATGAAACAACCTTCTTACAGCATGAATTATCAACACATTTTTCAAGGGGAAATAACTCAAAAATATAAAATACGACAGATCTTACTTTTAACTTTTTAATCAATTTCGGTGAATTTCCTGTCTTTGAAACGTTCAATTACTCTGATTACCAAAGAACAAATATTGCCAATAATATATTGAATACTTTTTTAAACAATTGTTATCAACACCTGCCTGCTTTGTTTTATTACTGATTATGCTGAGTATATTTGCAATTTTGCTGTGTTAAATAAGTATTTTAAGTGGATTAAAAACCATTTAAAAAAACATGAACTTTTTTTTTGCCTTTTAATTTTTGTCCAAAATTTCTTGTATTATACACAAGAAAAAAAAAATATATAATATATATAGGTCTATTAAAATGAGATTAGTTCAGCACTGGCTGAAGAGGAACAAAGCTGCAGCACCAGATGAGATTGTAAAAGATACCTTGCATGCCTTAGATGTGAAATGTTGGATTTCAGTAAAACAGTTCATAGCACTTTTAAAGAAACCAGTTATGAATGCAAACTCCTTTAAATAAGTTTGATAAGCCATGTAACTAAACTAATAATTGAAGCTCAAAATAGAATTAGACCAGAAATAGAGCAAGAAGATTGATTTAGTTCAAGGCACTGGAACAAAAACTGCAATTTTTATGATCAAAATTATTTCAGTGATAACTTTGATAAAGTAAGACATGAAGAACTTGAAATGTTAAAACTTGATTTACATGAAAATGATATTCAGATAATCTGTAACCTCTACTGATAACAAACAGCTTGCATTTGGGGAGAAAGTGAATACACAAAAATAGAGATAGTACAAGAATGTGTTTTCTCATCAGATTTAAACTCTACAGCACAATGATTTTAAGAGGACTAGAAAAACTACCAAGATTTATTGTCGGTGGATGTAACCTTAACAGCACATGTTACACAGTACTGATGACATTCAGAAAGATAACTAAACGAATTAAGCAAGGTAGTTGAGGAGAGCAAGAAGAAAAGACTAACCATTAGCTTTAAGAACACTGCATGGTTGTCAGCAGAAGAAGCAACCCATTTTGAGTTGTGAAAGTCTAACTATTTGAGTAGTATAGTAACAACGAAAAGTGTGAGAAGAAATTCTGAAGATATAAGAATGGCAAAACAGGTCTTTCAGAAACTGGGCAAAGTATTAAGAAACAGGAAAATGTCCTGAGAAACAAAAGAAACCTGCTGGACATACACTGCTTTTTCCATAGTATTCTGTGCATCCATACCTATGTTACTTCCAGTTTGTTTTCATCTGTGTTCACTGCCATATCAGAGATTAGGTATTACAAGATGTAATATCTAATCTCTGATATGGAAATAACATAGGTATGGATGCATAAAATACCATGGTAAAAGCAGTGTATGGGGGAGAGAAAAAAGCAAACATTTTAGAATAGGAACTACAAATAAAATCAAAAGTTTCATGGGAGCATAATCAGGACATAATTCTTGGAGAATTCAGCACTCACAAGGTATATTGAAGACTAGAGAAGCAGGAGATAAGCAGCAAGTAATCTCATTGACAAGTTTGAGTAAACGGATGGTCCAACAAGTACTACAAAGACAGTGGGTAGTAAAGGAGCAAGAGTTACTTTGAGCAACAAATGACAGTAAGATGTGGAGCCATGATTGCCCATGATCTGAAAGGACATGGAACACACACACACACACACACCTCAGATATAGAAAGGCCAGTTAGTAGTTAAATTCAGCCCATCCTATTATAATTCTGCTTGTTCTTTAGTTAGTACATACACCGTGCCATTGCCTCATATAAACAATGGCCTGTTCCTGTTTAATTCCAAGGATAGATAAAAAAAAAATAAATATATGAAAGGCATTGTTTGGTTTTAGGAAAAGAAAGGGGAGATAAAGAAAGACAATACTTGCATGTGTCTAGCATCT